CTTTGGCTAGCCAAAGCCTGACCCGCAAGGCAGCGGGGCGGTGTGTGAAAATCGCAAGCCATTGGGGACCGGTGTCCAGTTCATCGGATCATCGGAGTCAAACGTCCAAGGTGCCCAATACACCTCAGTGCCCAATTGAGACGGTGACCACTGCCGCGACCAGGAAGATGTGCCTGTGGTTCTTACGCCTTTTCTTGGTTGGTTTGGAATCAGGGTTTTTAGCCAACTCCTCTAGGTGAACTGCCAATGGTTCACCAACCCGGTCATAGCCCCAGATGTCGGCTTTTCATCCTCTCACTTTGGTGCGAAAACACCGCCACGAGAAGGCAATGAGTAGGGCTTTCTCAGCAGAGGCGCTTGGTCGTATAGGAGCGTTTCACGAGGTGTAAGGAAATGGTAACCAGCCACAAACCCAGACACCCACCCAGACCATACTGAGGCTTTCGAAGCATACTGATTCATATTCAGCGACGTAGTCTTGAACGTTGGGCAGAACATTTTAAGGCAGAGTTCAGCTGATCTCCGTCGACACAGTACCCCACCCCCTACCCACTTCAATTGTGCAAATACTACCAGTTGACTGCAGTACTCCATCCGAAGTGGAGGTTACTCAATAAATAATCTCAAATGGTCTTAGGCTTCCGGCCCCGCCGGGCTATGCTCCACGTCAAGATCCAGTCCTTTAACGATGGAAATCGACAAACTAGGCCCCGAGACTTAGTGGCAAACCATATAAGGCGCTACTATGATAGGCGTGGTATCGAACTGGACGAGTGGCGGTGGCAGTTTTCGAATCTCGGTTCATAGGGCCCAAAATACGCAAGGGACAACAACTAAACCGCTGGGTCACCACCACGTATAGCAATTATTGCATAGTAGAAAACAGTACAATTGTCAATCCGTTTAAGCGCTGACCTATTATGTATTTAGAGAATTCAGAAGGTTTGTTTATGGTTTTATTCCATTGCATCTCACTTTAATGCATTCTTTTCGCGGATCTGGACAGTGAGCAATCTGTGCAATCACTGATCACTGTCATCCTATCAACCAATTATGTTGGTTTAAGTTTCGACCTTCATTCACCCTATGCTTTTGGTTGCTGTTCCACTGATTTCGATCAAAACCAGAAAATTAATTTTAGATTTGAAAATATTCAGTTGTCTAAAGGAAACGCTAGTGAAAATCGTTTTGCAATTAGATATAATGAGGGAGTAAAAAAGCAAATTTCGGTAACGAAGTTTTAGCCTTCTTGGAAGGTCTTATCTTGTCACTTCGACCGTTGGTGGTCATGTGCTTCAGATCTCTTTCACTGCTTCCAGCTCCGACAACAGGTTCAAACCCAGTTACTAATATAAAATGCCTAAGCTGTTGGGATTGTACGTGATTCATCTCTCTGAACCTCAATTCTTAGGTTGTCGGTTCCTACAAGTTGGCAGTAGGTTCTCGTGATTAGAGAGTTTACTTCTGCGGTTCATCGTAAAAGTGACATATGATAACAAATATACCGTGTCTGCTGGATCACAAATAAATGATACGCCTGCAAAAAATATTTGGGCAAAGAAATGTATTGATACTATGCATCGAGACTCAAACCTGCATTGTTTTCTGTTCTTCCTGGGTCGGTCAAGTTACATGCCAGATACGGAACAAGGAGATTTTATACCTAATGTTATGTTCTGGAATTGGAAGCTCACGAAATTATGAGAGTGATCAGGGACAGGCCAATGTACAAGTTGTGTGCGAAGTCCATAGGAATCTCTTGTACAAATTGACAGAAAATATGGCGATCAGTGAGTTTCAGGATGTATCTTGAAGAGGTACCATAATTGACAATCCATTTACTTTTTCTGACACGTTTGTTGCTGACGGTGACCAGTTAAGTTGAATTATAATACGCTTTTTGTGTTGCCTCGTGGCAATTTTTGGCGTCTTTCGATTTGCTTGCGGTTTGCTTGGATGGGGGGGGTGATGATAATTAGATCCATCACCTAGAGTTTTCTATTCAATTCTATCACACTCGGACAGATGTCCGCTGTTTGATTTACAACCGATAAGCATCAAACAAAAACAAAACTACAAAGCGTTAGGTGATAGATATAAGGAGGTTGCGTTGCAAGCCAGATTCTGCCCCCACATATTATACAAATTCAAATAGATGCCCACAATACAATGTAAGGGTCGTTGCAGTTGAACCTTCTAAGTTAAGCC